ACGCCCACTCGGTGCTCGCGGGTTCGATAACCCCTGCGTTCAACATCTTGTTGACCTCCTTGGCGACCATTTCGCGCATGGCCGGGCCCTTCCGATAGGGCATAGAACGAATCAGTTTCGTTCTCGGTTCGAGGGGAATGCGATGCTCCGTGGCTTGGATCGTTCCAAGCGCACCGCTTCACAGACTCAAGTGCTTACGGAGCATCTCGAGTACGTGGCCACGGAGCTTGTCATCTTCGATGTATGACAGGTCGATCTCTTTTTCCCAATTCATCGGTGGATTTTCGGGATCCTTTTCCTGGTGGAGTACAGTACCCCTCGCCGTCGGTTGGCATAAAGGTGACCGTTCGTCCGGGTCGACCCCCCTGCCCCCGGCGGTGGTCTTATCGTCGGAGTTGGATCGCCCAACTCCTACCCCACCGACTTGATCGGTCAAGTCGGTCAGGTGTAGCGCGTGCGCGATCCCCTCGGCGACCTTACGTTCGGGAGTGAGGATCGCGAGGGGGTTGCGCTTTGCGAATCCCACGACGGTGTGCTTCGGAAGCCTCTTTTCTCGTCGTGAGAAATTCGCGACGATGACGTCGAAGGTCTGATTCGGTAGGACCTCCGCGACGCCATTCGTTAGCCTCACTCCATGTCGGTGTTGGAGTGGGGGCTTGAGTTCCAGGAACACGAGGCCCCTCCCTGCGGTTGTCACACGCACGCCGGCTTGTCACATCGCGGGGATGGTAACCCAGCGGGCGATTCGGATCGCTTGCCGGGCCTCCTCGCGTACGTCTGGCCGACCCGTGTGTCGCCCGTGTCGCCTGGTAGGGAGAGTCGACTCCCCCTTTCCGTCGACGATGGCGACGGAACCGCCTTGGCGTAGCTCCATTCGTTGAGCTTCGATGTCGATACATCGCACGTGCGTATCGATGAAGGCCGTGCCGAGGAGGACCGGCACGGCGAGCTGGTCTGCGACTACGAACGGAATTCGGAACACCGTGTTCCTCAACCGTACGGCCAGGCGGACGAAGGCCGAAAGCTTGAGGGGGTTGCTATTGGCGCCTGCCAGTCGTGGCACAGGTGCGTCGTGCACGACGTAACGCGTCCAATGGGGGGGAAGGTCGGCCTTCCTCACGACATTATACCCCGAGCACGTATCAACGGCGATCGTGCGGGGTTTAAATGCATTTCCCTCTGTGGCTATCGAGCCAAGGACGTTGTAGATCTTCGACGTCATAAGGCAAATGACGCCGTCGACAATCTTCGGGGCGGCCTTATCGGTGAGGTCGTTCCGCCCGGGCGTTCGATTTCGGTGCTGGCCCCGCTTGCGTTTCCTTCTCCCCCTTCCTTGGGGCGTCCGCGGATCAGTGACGCCCCAAGGATTACTCCAGTCCGTACGACACGGACCTTTCTCCGGCGACCTTAGGCTCGCGGGAGTCAGGGGGTCGACCGAATCTTTTTTTATGTCGTCGTTGCCCCTGTCGCCATCGTTACGCCTCACCGGGACGTCGGCTGTCCCCGTGCCTTGTTCTCCTAACGTCAGGCTTTCGGAGGCCTCGACGTGCGCTCCCTCCGGTATCGGCATTACAGGAGCTCCCGTGCTCGCCTCCGGTAGCGGGGGATGTATTATCGGACAATACCCCCCGTGTCCTTGGCGAGCACGCGGAGTCGGGTCTACTTCGTGGGGAAAAGACGGCTCACGCGACTGCGTGTACGTAACCGTCTTTACCCTTTTTTGGAACTACCTGTGCTATCGGAGCTAACCTCCTGGCTATCGAAGGCCAGTTCTTCTTCGGGTAGCCGCCTGCGTGGGTCAGGACGATTCCCCCACTGCGGCTCAGCGGCCCTGGCGAAGTATTCGGGTACTTCCCGGCCTTGACCTGCGGCGTCCGGTCGTCGCAGGATATGGGAGACGAAGCAAGTGGGCTCGCCTTCGTGACCCTCCGTGGGTTGAGGGTACGGATCCTCTACCCAGTCTTGCAGGTACATTATCGCATTTTGTACCTGTTGGGGTAACCGAGAACAGTCTCGGTCCCCTCTTTCTCCTTCACATGGGTACCTTCTGTCCACCTGCCGGTAGGCGGGTCGATCCCGACGATCGACTTCGTTACGACGGTACCCGCCTCCACGGGGGGCGAAGCGTGCGCCCCCACCCCATCGGTTCGCGAAACCTTGACGCGGGGGACGACCCTCGCCCGCCGCTTGCCGGAGGAGATTACGCGCACCGGGGCGCGTCTCCATCTGGTAGCGGTAGTTCCTGTACGCCGTGAACATTCGTTGTTCCGGCGACAGGAACGGGCACGCGTACATGGCATGCCCGTACGTACGGCATAGCCAGCACACGTACGCGCTGCCGTCCGTTGAGGCGAAGGTCGCCGCGTGCCGCGCCTCCTCAACGGTGAGGAGGGGCACGCGAGGCGCTCCACCTCCTGCGTCTCGGTTCGATATGTCCAGCTCTGCGACCCGGGGGTCCGTACCCCTTGCCACTCTTGGAGTGGCCGCGAACGCGGTCGCGTAACTCGATGTCGTTCCGGTCGACATCGGTGAGAGTGTTCGTGCCCCCACGGGCCCTGCTCCTTCCGTAATGAGGACAGGGTCGGCCTGCCACTCATCCTCCCCGATATGGAGGGTCGAGGCGGGCGAACTTGTCGCGGCGGACTTCGTAGTCCTGCCAGCCCTCCCTGCCGGTTTCGAATCCGGCAGAGGTAAACCGTGCCGAGCGCGGTACGTTGTACCTTCCGCCGTGGCGATACGGCGGATGGTCGGAAGATCGGTCTTCTGACTGCCTGGCAGCCTTTGCACAGTTTCGGATACGGCGGCACGGGTTGCCGGTGCAAGTCCCCGCACGAAGTAGTGCGCGAGGGACTGTTCAGAGAAGACTGCCGTGCATCGGAACGCAGCAGTCTCCAGTCGGTCAGCAAACGTGCTTTCCGTCTCATGCGATTGCGATTGCTGTCGCGCCGTAGCGACAGCGTCGTACGCTTCACCTAACACGTCGTCCGTGAGGTAGCGTTTTAAGAATTAATTCACGAGCCCCGGCCAGCTCACGTCGTCGTGGAGCTGGCCGGCGCGGAGGCCACGCATCGTATAACTCGTATACAGGCGCTCCGCGTCGCGCTCGAGGAAGTGAGCGAGAACTCGTACGGCAACACCTTCGGTCAGGTGTTGCGAGTTGAAGGTGATTCGGATATCCTTCAAAAACGGCAGCAGCTGGATCGGGTCGGTACCGTCGAAGCTGCGCATCGTGGGACGGATCCCACGACAGCGTTGGACGTACTTCGCGATCCGTCCCGCGTCACCCGAGGTAACGAGCGTCGAGGTGTTATCCAAGCGGTACATACGATAGTCAGCAACGGCGCTGAACTCTTGGATCATCGTATGTACCAGTTCGAGCCCGGGTTCAGCGGGACCCAGCGTGCCGAAGGAGGTAACCGGTAGCGTACGGACGTGTACTGGACCTGGATGCTGGGCGTAACTCGCCGGTGGGTAGCCGCCCCAGCGGGGATCGACGGCGAACATTGGTTCTCCGGATCCGCGGGCGGCTCCTCCACGGTCCTGTTCGTCCGCGTACGATACGCGGTCCACTTGCCGCCTACTTCCGGCGATAGGAGGCAAGGCTTGGGTCTCAGACGCGAAGTTCGCGTCTATCGGAGTACGGCTTCCTTCTGCAGTCCGACTGGTAGCGGCACCAGTCGGACGCCAACCTTCGGGGGCGGCGGCGCTCGGAGGTACGGGACCGCCGGGCCCTCTCGAGGTGGCACCGGGTAGCCCTTCGGCCATGGTACGTTCCATGTCACGAGCACGCCGACGAGTGGCGTCGAGCTCAGCGGAGAGGTGCGCGAACGCACCCAATTGCTCTGCGATCGGAGAGGTTCGGTCCTCCAGTCGTCTCACCGAGGTCGGCCTCTCAGGGCGACCTTGCCCGGACGGTCCGGGCGAGGCGAAACGGGAGTCTTCGACGAGCACTATCCGCGATTGTAATTCGTCGATCAGTGCTCGGAGATTCTCTAAGGACTGCGTCACTCTATCGAACATTCCTTCACGCAGGGAGCGGAGTTCGGCCATACATCGAGTGTATAAATGGTCCGATACATCGATCCGAAGGGAAGTACGGACTTCTTCGATGTATTCGGCTATGCGTTCGAACATCGCCGCCGCTCTTTCCTCGGAGGATCCGAGCGACGGTTCGCGGTCACGAAGACCTGCGTTGCCGTCGCCCGACGGGGCGGATGGGGACTGCACAGCGGCCGGACTCAGATCCGCCGCTTCTGAGCGGATCGAGGGCTCAAACTCTTGGCTCATCTCAACGCGATCGGTTCGCAGAGGGAAGCGGAAGTCTTCTCGGAGATCGGACTCCAGCGTCTTCTAGATCGGGAGACCACTGTAGCATAAACACCCCCAGCGATAGGGGTGTATGCACAGTTCGACCGAGACCCTTGTCGATCGGGAAGACGGGGGTGAAGCGGGACACCAGCTAACGGCACCGGGCAGCGGGCCCGGGTAGCGTGGTAGAGCGGGAACGGGGAGGACGCCGGTACGCGCGAGCGGTTCGACGCCTCGACGCCCCGGCGCCGTACTGGGTAACGATCCAGTACCGACGGGCGGAGGCGGAGCCGGCTCGTAGGCGTACCGCGCGCGTCCTCAACCCGCGCTCGGTGCCGTTTCTAAGGTAATTAGCGAGCGATACCTTAGAATAAGCGGGAAGCCGGACCTTGACGGTCGGTCGGTGACAACTCCGTCCTTGTCCTCCTCCACCGCCGCCGGTCCGCTCCATATTTAATGTACAAAACAATCTATCATAACACTACAGTACCGAGGTACTGTAGTGGGCTACTGTAGTGCAGGTCGGCCTGCACTGTAATACTGTCAGCTATGTCGAGGCTGACAGTACACGTATTACCCGTGGTGCATGCGCGTTTCGTTCGCGCGGTACACGTGTACAGGTGTGCACGCGTGCGCCCTGTACCCGAGGGGTACACGTGGCCACGCGCGGTAGTACTGTAGAGCATCGAGCTCTACAGCACTAGATCCCGTTGCTGATCTAATCTAACTAAAAAGCCCCAGGGGGGGATTATACTACAGATGTCGATGGCGACAAACTCCAGCGGAGCTTTTGGCGTGAACAGCTTCATTTCCTTCGTGTTTCTTCTTAACTTCACCCTTTCCCGCGCACATGCGGCGCAATTCTTCGCGACTGCATAGCAGTCTAGGGCCATCGCAGGCCAGTAGAAATATCTTCTCAATGTCTTATAAAGTTTCCTGCCTCCCGGGTGGCCTGCTAATTTTGCGTAGTGCCTCAACCCTAGAACGCGGTCCCTTAACGATTGTGGTATCACCACTTGTACAAAATCCGCAGCGGTACGGCATAGAGTTCCTTCGAGTTCCTCGGTCTCCATGCTGAACTTTCTCACCTTTCCGGTGTCCATTTCTTCCTTGATGCGGTTGCAGAAGGGGTCGACGGCTTGCTCGCAAATGAGCTCCTCCAGACTGACAGCTTGGAATTGATCGAGGCGCTCAGGGGCGGTCCCCCCCTCAAGAGCGAGGATGTCGTCTAACGCGTCAAAATTGTCCTCTTCTTCCGCTGTACCCTCGGCCGGTTCGGCCATAAAGCATTGGATTTCGTCGTCGATTTCGTCGACGGTTTCTCCTGCGGTCCGCAATCTTGACAGGGCATCAGCTTGACTATTCGCCTTGCCCTTCTTGTACTTGATTTCGAAATCGAATTCCGAGAGGCGGAGCCTCCATCGGATTAATCTCCCGCTGGGGTCGGTTACGTTCATCAACCACCTCAATGAGGCATGGTCGGTATGCACAATGAAGTGCTCGCCATATAGATATGGTCTTAAAGTCTGTACGGCCCAAATTACTGCTAGACATTCTTTTTCTGATACAGAATAGTTTCTCTCGGCTGAGGCTAACGTTCTTGAAAAGAACCCGATGAGTTTACGTTGCGCATCCGGATGCGTTTGAACTAGTGCAGCGCCTATTTGATAGTCGCTTGCATCGATATCTACCGAGTAGGGTAGGTCCTTCTTCGGCAGCGCCAACACCGGCGGTGCCAAGATGGCGTCCTTGAGCTTATGAAAAGCTTTCTTGCACGGTTCGTCGAATCCTTCCAACTGGACCGGTTGTCCTTTCTTCAGTAGTTGGTTTAGAGGTTGCGCAACTTTCGCATAATGCAGAACGAACCTGCCGTAGACATTGCAAAGTCCCAAGAAGCTCCTGAGCTGGGTCTGCGTTTGAGGGTACCTCACTTGTTCCAATGCGACGGTTCGCGCAGCGTCCACTTCCAATGTACCTGGCCGAACTACATGGCCCAGGTACTTGATCTTTTCGACGAAAAATTCACACTTGCGAAGCTTGAGCTTCACACCTGCGGTCTTGTCGCGGTCGCATTCAGGGATAGGCATCTGGCAATATCTCGAAATCGCGTCCAACGCGGAGAAAACCTTGGTGTCACCAAGCGAGTCTAGACACTCATCCATGCGCAGTGAAGGGTACGTGTCCTTCACCGTCACTGCGTTCAGCCTGCGGTAGTTTACGCAAAAACGCATTTACCCGTCCGGCTTGGGCACCAGCAACACGGGCGACGCCCATTCTGACTGCGCTGGTTCTATCACTCCTGCCTCTAACATCTTCTGCACTTCTGCATCTTCTACTTCGCGGGCTTTAGGCCCGGCCCGATACGGGTCTTGTGCGATGGGACGGGTCTCGGGGATCAACTCGATCCGATGGACTGTGGTATTAATTTCGCCAAGCGTCCCATCCCACATCCTTGAATACTTCTTCAAAATCCGACGGAACCGCTCGCGCAGCCGTTCCAGCACGTGGCTCAGGTCGAGGTCCTCCACGTCCGGCGGTGGGGGCTCAATCTGCTGCTCCGGCTTCGACGATGCCATCGCAGAGAGCCCACCCGACCGTTCTTGTGGCTGTTCCTCGCGCGCTTCTTCCGACGGTTCGCATCTTGTCTCGCCCTTAGGCGTCTTGTTAGAATTAGGAAAATTTTCGTTCTTCCTTTCTTGAATTCCGAGAACTTCACCAATGGTGGTTTTGCTCTCGAGCGCGGCTCTCGGGTGCGGTAATAATTCTGCCACCACTTGGCCTTTTTGCACCCTGACAGGGTACGTCCTAAAATTCGCAACGAGTAAACGAAATGGCCGGTCAGGCTCAACCTGAACGACACCATTCGTGCACGTCAACCCGTGCCTTCCGTACAACGACGAGTACGGCTGAACCACCACCAAGCCCGCCCTCTTCGAGGTGCATTCCACGACGCGTTGCGTCCCTGGCTCGATAGTCGTGGCTCTTGCCACTTTTACCTTACCGACGCGTTGCGTCCCTAGCTCGATAGTCGTGGCTCTTGCCACTTTTACCTTAGGGAAAACTCGCTCCACCTTCCGAAATTCTCGTCCTCTCTCGGGACGAGATTCTTCTTCCCTTTTCTCGTCGAGAACCGCCTAACTACCGGAACCTCCGAGAAATCCGCCAACTCAACCGTTTTCTTCCTTGGATAAATTGCTTCCACAAACCGGTCACAGTAGTCCGCGCCTAGAATTAGCGGGACGGCTAGTTTTTCGCATACAATAAACTCGGCTGCGGCCACAAATTTTCCAAGCCTCACAGGCATTCTAATTGTGCCGAGAGTCTGGAGTGGCCTGTTTTTCGCGTCGCCAATGTCTTGGATCGGTCCGCAGGACACTAGAGATTCCATTCCAGCCGGGAGTTCCAATTTTTGCACAAGGTTTGGTCCCACGCCGGTGTCTAATACAGACAACACCCGGCTCAACAGTCCGACTGTTGGTCCAATGTCCGCGTAAACTTTGTAGTTTTTTCGCGCAAGAACCAAAATCTTCTCGGGACACTCCCTTCGCTTAACCATGTACCAGGGTCTTCGAACTTCTTCCAGCGGATGATCTCGGGCTCGGCTCAAAATTTTCTTGACTTGAGCTGGCCCTTTGGGCTTATCCACCAATCCAACAACCTCCTCATCGGCACCTGATTCTTCCCTTAGAGACGGGGAACGGGGCTGAGCCCCGGGCACAGTACGTCGACTCTGTGCCTCTCGCGGCTCATGCCAGATTCCCCTCTCTAGTTTTCCTGCCGCGGCGGGTTCCTTCTCACGTCCGACGACGCGGGCCCCGTCGCGGGCCTTCTGAAGGGTTGGTTCGGCCTCGGCGTCGAAGCACTCGGCGTGCTCGCCGTCTGCGAGTCGAACCAACTCTTGACCTTCAGGTAACTCGTCGATGGTATCCCTAATCTCTCCATCGGAGACAACGCCTCATAATTTCCCAAAACTCGGTGCATTTCCCGGAGGGAAAGAATACACGTTGGCGCGGCGTGCCCCTTTTCGTAACAATGATAGCACACCAGTCCGTGCGTCTTGACGGGATATTGCGGCCTAGGTCCTCCACGGGCCGGCGGCCTTCCTTGACGTTGCGGCCCTTCTATCCAGCCTGGCCTTCGAAACGTCGTACCCTTGTCTTCCATCGGAATGCGCGGCGGCGGCGTGTGGCCGCGCCCCCGAAACATCATCACGGGATCCGTGGGCTCTGAAAACCACTCCGTCGTGTACGTAGGCGTCGGTAGAGTTGACGACCCGCTTGCCCCGTTGTTGTCGTGTCCGTAGCCCTCCGATGGCTCAATAAAATTGCCTTCGGCTACCAAGGCTCCTTCATACTGATTTTCGCTGCCTCCGTGCGCACTGCGTTCATCCGACGCGGAGATTGTCTCGGCTAAGTGAACGGCGCCCTGACTTTTACGACCGGGATAAGAAGCCCTCGGCTTCTTACCCGCCCTGATCGTCGACGGCGTCTGAATCGTGACCTTCTTGGTCTTCTTGTCCTAAGTGCGGCTCGCCGAACCATGCGCCTTCGCGTAATTAACTAGTCTCAAAAACGAAACGTTTCGATTGTCTTGTCGGTATTGAGATACCATTGGCTTGATACTCGAATCGAGTCCTTCAATAAAAATCTTCATTTGTTCTTCCATCGAATATACGTTTCCACATCGATTGCTCGCGTCCGTCAGACGGATATAAAATTCCATCTCGTCTTCAGACGGTCCTTGCTGAACTTCTCGCAAAGCGAGCACAGCTTGACGGATCGCCTCGTCGGTTGCTGAACTCCTCAACAACCACTGTACGGCCTCTGGCCAAACGGATACCTTTCCGTGGTGGAACCCGGCCGTCTGAGACACCGAAGTGTACTGTCTCAGGGCGATGCCGCTTAGAAATTCGGGCAACAAGCGGATCGCTTGCCCCTCGTTCATTTCTTGAGTATCAAACTCTTGAACTAATTTTGCCAAAAAATCCAACAAAAAGGACCCCGTCCTCACCTGTGAACGTGTTATCCTTCTTCACCTTAGGCGGAATATCTCTCCTGATTGTTGGCACGGCGGTCCGCCGGGAACTTGACAAATATGTCTGCGGGTTCAGCAAGCGGTACGTTTGGTACGAAAGTAATTTCTTGAAGAGGTAGTTGGTCGGATTCAGCTCCTCCAACTCCTCCCATCGCGGCCCGCGCCGCGTTGCGACATCTTCGGGATCCGCGTCCTTGTCTCTCCGCGAGGCGGACGAAGTGATCCCGCCCCGTCTGGAGGTCATTTTCTTGCCCTGCGAAATTCCTTTTCCTTCCTCTGAACGATGTTCGGAATCGCTGGCATGGTTCGACGAACCGTCGTCACCATCTTCAGAAAGACCATTTGACTCGGTCATGGAGTCTTGGTCCTCCGGCTCGTCACTGCCGTGACTCTTGCTCCGGCGTCGCAGAATCTTCTTCGAGGTCTTCGACTTGGAACTCCGCTGCACCGCGGCCTTGTCCTTCTTCGATCGACGGTCGCCTTCTCGACCCGTTGGGAGCAGCTCTTGCCGGGCGACCTGTTCAAGGTCCTTGAGACGATGAGCGGCGCGGTCGAACCTGTCGTCGATACTGCTTCTAAATTTACCTAAGGACTCCAAAGCTTGATTCGCGTCGCGCCTGGCGTCCTTAACTGAACTTTTCAGCGAAGCTAGGACCTCCGGTTCCAGACCGTCCGTCGCCTCAACTCTCTCCTTCTCGACGAGATCCACTCGAGCCGATAGCTCTCCAAAACGGTTTGGAACTCGGATGCTTGCAACTCCAGTTGCTTCCGGACGAGGGCTAATTCAGCCTCGAGATTTTTCGTCATCTCTTGGCGAATTTCCTCGGCCATCTTCTCGAACCTGTAAGATTGGTTATCCTTGTCGGTTTCAATCCCCGTCGGGGATTCTTGAGCTTCGGGATCCGTGGCCGTATTGGCCTGGCTTCGGGTGCGGGGACCTCGCGGGATCCTCGACGCCCTTGCCGATCCGCTCCTACTCGCCCCGGGACCGAGTCCCCGGGTGCGCTTGTCGACATGGCTCGTACGAGCGAACCTACACAAAAAAAGTTACAAACAAAAAATAAAAAGAGACTCCGTTACCCAGACCACTTTTGTAGTCCAACTCCAGATCAAACCTGTCGTCGACACAATTCTAGGTCGGGTTTGCTGTAGACAATTGTAGGTCGGGAGACCACTTTTGTAGTGCAATGTGCCTGGCAGGCCGCGAACACAGTCCGACGGTCAAACAAAAAGAAGAAAAACAACAACAGCAACAACCACTGCCGATGGCACGCGCTACGGAGCGTTCGAGACTCCCTTTCCCCTTCTGTGGGCTTGCGGCCCACGGTAGCTCAACTCCGACGGCGGGGTTAAGGAAAGATGCCCGCCCCGGGAGGATAATGGTGGTAGAGACTTGTGAAGACTTGAGTGCTCGACGAGTGCGGGTTGGGCTTGTCTACGAGGATGTAACCGCGGTTCGCTGGGTTGTAAAGCCAATGCTCGGCGAGCGTCTTCAGCACCTTGGGTATAATTCAAGGTCTTCGACGGGGGTTTGTTCAGCACTACCCGACGGGATCGTAACCGTGTAGCAACGCTACTACCGACGTGTCGCCCGATGGCTAAAAACACCCTCACCAGCGCGATCGCGATCGCGGTAGGCGGTACCAACTCTGTCTTATACAGTAAGACCTTCGACGGAGGCGTCGGTGCAACAGCCTTCCGACGGAACTTGAAACAGTAGCAGCGCTACACAACGTGTTGCCCGATGGCTAAAACACCGACACCGGATCGGTCGCAACCAACTCCAGTGGAACTAACACAATTAAGGGAAAAATAGAGGTAGAGATAGAAAAGAATAGGGAAATAAAGGAAAAAGGAAAGGGAACCCCCGAGCGCAAAGGATGCCGTAGGCTTAGGTAAAAGGGAGCGTCTTGCTAGAGACGGACTTCGACCGAGGCGACATTCAACTCTGGCAACAACTCGGATTACCTTTACTGACTTGGTGGTCAGAGGGCTAAGGTATATATCGCCCCGCCGAAGCCACTACAGTAGCTCGCAGCGCTAGATCCTAAATCTAATCTAGTGTCAGCAAAATTAATGCCAACTAATTAACTAAATAAAATAAAATAATTAAAAATTAAAACTGTGCAATTATTCACACGTGTGTCCCCCAACCCGGACTACTTTTCAAATCCAAATATTTTCCTTTCTTTTCACCCCCCTTTTCAGGTGCGTATTGCACTACAATCTCCTCAACCCGCCGGCGAAGGAGGCGTGTGAATCCCATCGAGGATATTTCCGAAGCAATCAAGGGATTGCGTCGTGGCCAGCAGCAGTGAACTGGTTGCTTCGTACGTATGCTACGAATATTCAGATCGAGCAAGCGCTCTCTGTGGTCCGGTATTTACGCCAAGAACCCGGCGAAGTTGAGACCAAG